GCGCCAAACGGAGGGTAAAGAACAGGGGGGGGGGGGGGGGGGATGGAAGGGTGAATGTGGCTTAGGGAGTCCCGGCGCGGAGAGCTGCGCTATAGACTTACCCCAAGAGGCCTGAGGATAGTAGTGATGTGTGTATGTTTTTATATATACATATGTACATGTGAATGTATATGTGTATATATTGGTGGGTATATGTGTGTATGCATTGTGTTTATTATGTGTATGTGTGCTTGTGTTTGTGTATATGTATATGGGTATATAAATGTTATGTGTATGTGTTTATGCATGTGTGTGCATGTGTTTATGTAATATATATTAAAGTGTACATATGTGTATGCATGTGTACATGCATATGTGTAGGTGTGCATAAGTTTATGCGAATGTTTATGTGTGTGCTTTTGTGTATGTTTATGTGTGATAAAGAGCGCATCCTGTTTCTCTTTGGATCATGATCCAGAAAGCTGATTGTAGACATGGCAGAATTCCAGTAGCTCACTTATAGCCAGTGGTGCTTGGGTTTTAGTCATGCTATTGATTAGGTATTCACGTTCTTTATTCTTTCCAAATAACTCCAGTTAAGAGAAGAAAATTATTAAATATTTGAAAGCATAAAACATTACATCTTTAATTTTTTCACTAAGCAACCATGTTTCGTATGAAAAAGATAGGGTACAATTATACTCAGGTCTAATGATAATTCAAAAAGTAACTATTTACCGATATGTAGGACACAGTGAGATGTCTTCACACTCTCTCTCTTCAAATAAGGTATCTGGACACTCCTGACCTCCATTGGCTGCCACCTGGATGATAATCCTGTATCGAGACTGTTTTATTGTGGCATTTCCTGAAGGAAAGAAGAAATAAAATTGTAGCGCCCCTGTTATGTTGATACAGATGAAATCCAGGTAAAAATTAGAAAATAAGTGAAATATAGTTAAGTTAAGCACATATGGAAAGACAAGCCGAGAAGTTAGAGAAGCAAATGCTGGGAGCCAGGGCTCAGTCTATGGGAGAGAAGCATGACACTTAGTCACTGTAAATTCAAGTGCAATTTCAAATGTGTGTGTTCTGATGTACAGAAACTGCCTCCCACTACTGTCTTAATGTATTTTAAATTAATGATACCCTACACTATCAATGCTATAAGAATCACATGTCATCATCTGAAGGCTCAGAAACCCTTCTTCCACTCCAACAACAGCTGAGGGTCCTGAAGTTCTTTTGTCAATTGACTCCCTAGAGTAAGAAGTTTCTCTTTCCAGGCTACTTTATATAATAGAAATTCTCCCATTAAAATAAATAGTGTCTGATTTTTTATGGATATTAGTTTATTAAGTTTCTTATTCCTCATAACTAATATATATGTAATTAAAATTTGGAGAAGAAACACTGAAATTGAGAGGGAACAAAAAATTTGCTTATTTCAAGCTTTTGCTGAGAAGCAGAAGTATTAATAAACATCTTAACAGAAAGACAGCTGATGCTCACTTCAAAGTATTACTTGTTTCACAGTCTTTAGATGTCCTCTGAATCAATGACAAACTTCAGTTATGTACAGTGTTCATGGATTATTTCAATTACCAAATTCAAGGTACACTACTAGCACTAGATTTGAGAATAAAATTCCACCACTGCAGAACTTACGACTAAACAGGAAGGGAAGACGGCAAGTACACATACCGGTAGTAACAAGACACTGTAGAGTGAACAGGGTCGGTGATAAGGTGGTAGGTCAATGCAGAAGACAGAGAAATAATTTTTTGACTTAGAAAACCAAAGGTAGCTCATTTACTCTAAGCCTTAGAGACTCCATAGAAAAAATAAAACCCAGAGGATGAAACCATTTCAGATCACGGACACAGTTTGAAAAAAGGCACTGACATATAAAAGTATAGGGAGAAAGTGTGGGCATTTGTGGGGGTTGGGCATGTATATGAGGGGCTTGGGGAGGGGACAAGAAAGAGAGATACAAAGAATGGAAAAGGGGATGTCTAGGAGATAATAGAAGTAATTGGTGGGTTTGGGACAGGTAATGGACCTAATCATGTTAATAAGTTAATTTCTAGAAAGACAGTAAGCTAAATGGAGCAAAACAAAAGGAGGAACAGCATATTGGCAGAAATTATGTTTTCACATGGTGTTAAAAAATCATTAATATAAGAAGATGTTGGGGTTGGAAAGATGGTGCAATGGTTAAGAGCACTGACTGCTCTTGAAGAGGACCCGGGTTCGATTCCCAGCACCCAAATGGCAGCCACGAACTGTCCTTAACTCCAGTTCCAGGGGAATCCAAAGCCCTCTTCTGACCTCTGCAGCATTGCACGGCATGGGTGCACTCACATACGTGCAGGCAATACACTCATACACGTAAAATAAAAATAATAAATAAAATATTTTTAAAATATTTAAAGATGTACAGTGAGAAGCAAGGACCAAATGCCAAGCTCCCCTACCTCTGCTTTCCCTCAGAGGGAATATTTTTAACTGTTCCATCTCCATATCTAGTTCTTTTCTCATTACCCCCAAAATCTATAGATCATATGTTTTTCGTCGTTACTTCTTGATTTATGACCTTTAGAATTGCCTGCTGACTTTCTGCTATAATTGATGAAAATTTACCTCATACTACCTTTCAATTTTTTTGTAATTACTTAGATGTTTTTATGTCTTTACTGCTTAAAGGCTTTAAATAACCAAACGTTTTTTTCAGCCCTACTCCTCACTCATCCCGTCTGTCATCAGCCCAGTCACCACAGGTAGGCGGTCCTCCTACCAGGATGGGCTTTCCTTCCGATTGCTACCAACTTCCTGAAAGTTAGGTTGTGGCTCTGCATGGCACGACCTCAGTTTCTTGCTTCCTCAATTTCTACATATCTATATCTGTTTTCTATAAAGGAGTTTAGATCTCCCATCTAATGATGGACCTATTTTTTTGTTCTTGAAAGGAATTAATAATTTAAAAATTCCTCCTCTCAAGCGTGAGACCTTGAGAGGGAAAGGAGAGCACTGGTGCATGGCATGATCTTGAATAGGAAGCAGAGATGCACAAAGTAGGATCTTTGCCATTTGCTCTCCAAACCCCATTTTGTCCTTGTTAAGCTGCAGTATACATAGGGTTGACCACAGGCTCATTTGGAGTTTGTCTAATGGAAAGATGGGGCTATAACGGAAGGAAAATAAAGAGGAGACAAGAGCGATCAGAGTATTTTATTCCACTATAGTTCTTCCTCTGGGTCATCTTCCTTTTGGCTTCCACCAAAAGCCATCATCCTTATGGACTGGCCCTGGCCTCCGGCTGCTGTCTTTGGGTTCCACTAATTTCATCCTCCTCTATCAACATTCAGGCTCCCAACTGTCACTAAACCAGGTCTAAACCACCAGTCCCTGCTAGTTCATGGTAATTATCCCTTTATGGAAATTGCCCCTTCAATAAATTTTCCTCAGTTGCTTCATCTGACAGAAACCTGTTTCCTTCCAGGACATGCCAAAGTTCCAAGGAGAGAAGCTTCCACTGAACAAAGTAAATGATACAATTATCCATCCATAACAGGTAGTGAAGGATTATAGGAACAGAAGTGTATAAAGACAAACATATAAAGAAACCCTGCTTCATGGTAACAGTGGCTTCATTTGAGTGCAGACAGCATTTTTAAATAATCATGCTATTAAGAGACAGTCTCTCCTTCATCTGCCTGCAATTAATTCCAATTACATTCTGCTGACTCTGAAAATTTTTAGCTTAGAATGTACACATGACTGTGAGTTTGCATGTATGTCCTTCAGATACTATTTTAGGAGATTATAAATAAACATCAAAGATAATGGAAAAATGAATGATGTTTTCACATAACATTACTAGTCAGTTAATGATTGCTGGGAGGAGAGACATTTTCTTCAGTGGTGTGGTCACTAATAGGTTGCTCATATTCCTCTCAATAGCCCTCTCACCCATGAACCTGCAAGCAACCCTAATGAAAGTGATAGAGAGAGAGAGAGAGAGAGAGAGAGAGAGAGAGCAAAGGGAACTAGACCTATAGGATCATTTAATGCTTTTCCTTTCTACCCCCATACCATATATACACAATACACAATATACACACATTGAGGCATTCTGCCTTGACATTGTGACTCCAGGTCAAATTGTTTTCAAGTATGAGTAAAATTTGCATTGATTCCCATGTCCAATGATTATTAAGGTAGAGGTGGTAAAAGACAGACTCTGTGTATAAAGAAGTGTGAGATAGTCATTGAGTTTTGTGTGTGTCTTTCTCCTTCAACTGGAGAATGGCTGTAGTTCTGAAGGGTTTTCTTTCTCCCTGTGATTTAGTACTAATGGATTCCACTACAGAATCTGTCACAAACAATGAACTTGATGTAGTGGTCCTGTGGCAAAGGTGAGGATGGGCAGTATACACAGCTGGAGCAATCAAGGATCTTCTCACTTCACCTCTATGTAGAAACCAGCTTGAGGGTGGAGGGTTTCTACCAGTTCACGAGATAACTAGGTACAAAAGAAGTGAATGCTTTGACAGCCTTCAACCGTGTGCAAAGACAGGCCAGAGTTGAGGATACTCTCAAGAGCTGATGCCAGACAAAGTCTCCCTTCTCTACTGACTACACAGCAAGGTGATTTCTGGGAAGTAGGTATGGAGTAGATACAATGGCTTGTAGAGAGAGCATACTTGGAGAACATATCAATGGAAAACCAAATGTTTCTAGGAATTATCATTCAGTAATCAACCAACAATAATTATGAGTTATCACATCCATTCTGGGCATTTTTCACTTGCTGCCTTATTTATTATTTTAACACCTATGAGACTAATACTATTATTATCATCATTATTATCATTGTTCCCATTTTACATATAAGAAAATAAACAGTAGAAGAGGGAAACAATTGCTTAAAAATCACCTGGTTAAAATTAAACAGCCCTAAAAAGACACCAAAGTTATGATTTTTCCATTAAAAGAGATTTCATGAGAAGAAGAAAGAGGAGCATTCTAGCAGAAGGAATTCTTGTCACAGCTCCCTGTTATCCTTTCACACAGTTTGTCCACAGCCTCATGTCTACAGAAGGCTTAAATGGCATTTTGTGAGAGATGCTTCCTACCTCATTAGGCCTATGAAAAATAACAATAAATTAACGTGCTTGTTTGCAAACATAAACAATTGCTTAAAATGATTATGACTAATAAACAGCTCATTTAAATTCAGTTTTGATTTATGTATGTTCTACTATCACTAAGTCTTCAGGTATAATTAAGCTTAAATTATTAATTATAGTCAAAAAGTAATTTACAAAAGATGGCAATAAAGATCAAGAATTATATTTAACATAGACAATGTCTGAGTAGGTTGCAATCACTAAGGAATATCTATGGATACATTGAAAAGGCCTATATCAGTCTTTCCAGTATGATGGCAGCAAAAGCAGAAGAAATAAGCATGTGAAAGAGACTCTGGTGATTTGAAGCTGGGAACACTGGGGCACATAACAGAATGAAATGCCGAGAACATTGAGCCCTGGTATCAGGTGTTATTTAATGAGTACTTTAGAATAAAGAATGGATGCTAAGTTTATGATTGACTGAGCATTCAAGTGCAGACAGCAAACATGCATGGCAGAAATGAAGAGAGCCAGAGTTAGAGATGAATGCATGGTGAGGGGCTCCTAGAGGTCAGTGGATGCACAAGCCAAAGCAGGCTGCCCATCAACAATGCAACCTACAGAATTGTAACACTGAAACATGACCTCCAAAATTCTCCCTTCCCTCTAAACTGTCCCCACTGTAGAGAGACCTCAAGGATGTATTATGCTTCATGGCACTGATACTCCTCCA